TGGACACAGCAGTTGGGTGAGAAACGATAATATTGACGTGCTCTGTTCAGCTAAATAACCTGTAAATAATGACTTTCAAAACCTGCAGCATTTGAAGGACACCCTGCAATAAGACAGTACATCCATGGAAGTTCGAATTTACTTCATTGTTGACATTTATTTTCTCATTTTTATTTATTTATTTATTTAATTGTTCATTTTTTTTTTAGATAATATTATATTTACAGTCAAATTCTCTTAATATGGACACTGAGGGGGCCTTAGATAGTGTCCGTAATAATGGGGTGTATGTATTAAGCGGGTTAATTTAGAGAATACATGAGGGCTTTCTTTCCCCAGGGACAAAGCAAACTGTCCGTAATGATGAGGAACGCTATTCACTGATTCCTTGAGTAGAGTTTTTTTTTTTTTTGAACAAGTGGAGCCAGATTTGAATACAAAGAAATATATGCATTTAGCAGCTGAGGTTTTTTCTCTAGTGCAGTCCTTGTTATCCCACCACTGGCCTAGCATACATCATAAATAAATTTTTTCCTTGAGTTTGAAGAAATTCTTCACAAAATCTTTAATTTGATTTTAAAGAAACTAATCCTTGCAAATCTATCATTTCCTGTCATTAACCCTTTAAGTCTCAATATCAACATACAAATTCTCCCAACTGGTCTTCATACATTTCCTTTAAGAATTAGTTGAGAGAATTTAATGTAAGATCAAGGCCTTTTGTCTTTGGTGATCATTTTATTAATTCTCATAACTTATCTCTTGACAGTGTATGGATATCGTTAGGAGAAAATTGATGTTGATCACTATTAGGACTTACAGGGTTAAAAGAATGTTATGTTAACATGAGAAAACTGCCGACATTTCGCCTTGTCACCACTGGACCTCTCCAAATGACGTCTGAGGAACGACTGCAGATTTCCGCACTGTTGATATCACTTCCCATATCTGGGTAGTGCTTCTGATTGATTGAGACAGATCTCCCTCTTGGCATAAATAACAAGCATTACCCAGATCTGAGTAGTGAACATCAACAGTATGAAATTTCTGCAGTTGTTCCTCAGACTTCATTTCACCAGTGGTGGCATCACAAAAGGTCGGCTGTTATCTCAGGCTACATTAAAAATAAACAACGCACAAACCTGGCCCTAGCTCTTCAAGAGCTGGACGGGGCAATCCATTGGATAAATCACTATCCAGTGGATAAGTATTAGGGAAACCAATTGCACTATCCACTGTATAGAGATTTATCTGGTTGTTAGCGTTATTGACCTTTTGAACAACTGGGACCTGGCCTCAGTTGTTCCAAAGCTGGACAGGGCTATCCACCGGATAAATCACTAGGCAGATAATAAGTATTAGGGAAACCATTTGCACTAACCATTGGATAGAGATTTGTCCGGTGGATAGCATTATCCACCGTTTGAACAACTGTAATCTGTTCACAGACCCTCTATTATTTTTCTCTTTATGGATTGTTGAGCGCGCGTATGAAAATAAAAACCCCTGGGGATTTATTGCCCGCTTGCGCATGGGGGTGGGGGAAGGGAAAAGAGAAAATAGTTCTATTTTTGTCTTTCTCGCGCTCCGCCCTCGTTCTCGCTCTCGCAGTACTCGAGTGCGCGTCGATTTTCGAATAGAAATGGAAAGCAACATCTGTGTACAGGCTACAACAACTGCAGCGTAATGTGTATTTATGAATATCGATTTAAATTTCAGTTACATGATGGAGAAGGTTGATTTGGTGCTGGTTGGTGCTGAGGGAGTGGTAGAGAGTGGTGGGATCATTAACAAAGTGAGTCAGGTTTGATCCCGAATATCTTCAGTGTGTCAATTGTGATCATTACTGTGAAGTCAAATTAATTAATGTCGCAAATTAATGAGCACCCACCTTTCGCGGGTATATGAAATCAATTACCCCTGCACGTGGACACTAGTCCCTACGTACCCATGCCACTCGTAATGTACGAATGTTCGTGTACTCATTTTATTTTTTTAACCTAGGTCTTAATCTAGGGGCGGTGCCTCGCATGGAACGTTAGTCCTGTTGCACCTACCCCTTTTGGGTTTTTTCTTCTTTTCTTTTTTTTGTGTGTGTGTATGTGTTGTATTACAAATTTATATTGTATATCACTAGAGGAGCACCCAATAAAGCTGTGAAAAAAAAAATTCTGTATTAATTTGAGGATACCCGTATTAAGAGACCAACCTCTATTATGTACATGTGCCATACTTGGAGTGAAAGTTCCATAATTCCGGGTTAATCGTCTAAAACGTTGCATGTAAAGACGATAAACAGCCATGGGGTTAAACGTACCTTAATTAAGCAGCATTTTAACATTATTTTGAACATTTGCTTGCTGAGTAGGGTATTTGTTACATGTGTTTCCTTAGATTGGAACTTACCAGATGGCTGTTATGGCCAAGGTTGTAAATAAACCTTTTTATGTGGTGGCGGAAAGTTTCAAGTTTGTTCGCCTCTACCCACTAAACCAAGAAGATGTGCCAAATAGATTCAAGGTGAGCTGGGTAGTTGATTGTTATGGCCACGCTTGTATATAAATCTTTTTATGTGGTGATGGAAGTTTTTGAGTTTGTTCGAATCGACCCGCTCAAACCGAGAAGATGTCCCAAACAGGTTGAAGGTGAGCGTGATACTTGATCGCTATTGGCTCATTCAAGCTGACACGCACCTCTTCTCTACGAAGCTGTCTCATGCTGTTTTAATTTTTTAAGTATATTCGTTTCATTACAACCTTTACAGATCGGAATAGTTTGCAGGACAGCATGGAGAATACGCTATTTCATGTTGAAGCTTTACCGGTGTAATGTGTATGAAAATGTTCTTCAAGCAAAAATAGAGCGGGAGGAATGGGAACTCAGTATAACTAACGTATTTTCTTTGCTGGTTTGTTCAGTACTCAGAGAGCTCATCGTCTGGTGCTTGTAACCATCCTATGGTAGATTATACTCCACCCTCCTACATCACGCTACTTTTCACGGATCTAGGAGTTCTTACACCCTCTGCTGTGAGCGATGAACTTATTAAACTCTATTTATGACATCCGGCTCCGTCTTCGAACAACAAAGGTAACTTAAAGGACTAGTCAGAGTGACACACGTGGTTTACTATCAAGAATGTTTAAACAGACCATGCATTACCAGAGAAATAAAGTGAAAGATTTGTTTGGGCGACGTTACCTAGCAACCTCGCCGCACGCAGAATAATGCCGCGCGGGTCCATCATGCACTTACTTGTCACTTGATTTCAAGGTTTTCCTACAACGACTGCGACATGGAATTGAATACCAACTAAGAAGAAACAAACGGAACTCGATGGCTACAACGTTGTTGGTCCACGAAGATGTCAGTGCATATAATTNCCATGCCACTCGTAATGTACGAATGTTCGTGTACTCATTTTATTTTTTTAACCTAGGTCTTAATCTAGGGGCGGTGCCTCGCATGGAACGTTAGTCCTGTTGCACCTACCCCTTTTGGGTTTTTTCTTCTTTTCTTTTTTTTGTGTGTGTGTATGTGTTGTATTACAAATTTATATTGTATATCACTAGAGGAGCACCCAATAAAGCTGTGAAAAAAAAAATTCTGTATTAATTTGAGGATACCCGTATTAAGAGACCAACCTCTATTATGTACATGTGCCATACTTGGAGTGAAAGTTCCATAATTCCGGGTTAATCGTCTAAAACGTTGCATGTAAAGACGATAAACAGCCATGGGGTTAAACGTACCTTAATTAAGCAGCATTTTAACATTATTTTGAACATTTGCTTGCTGAGTAGGGTATTTGTTACATGTGTTTCCTTAGATTGGAACTTACCAGATGGCTGTTATGGCCAAGGTTGTAAATAAACCTTTTTATGTGGTGGCGGAAAGTTTCAAGTTTGTTCGCCTCTACCCACTAAACCAAGAAGATGTGCCAAATAGATTCAAGGTGAGCTGGGTAGTTGATTGTTATGGCCACGCTTGTATATAAATCTTTTTATGTGGTGATGGAAGTTTTTGAGTTTGTTCGAATCGACCCGCTCAAACCGAGAAGATGTCCCAAACAGGTTGAAGGTGAGCGTGATACTTGATCGCTATTGGCTCATTCAAGCTGACACGCACCTCTTCTCTACGAAGCTGTCTCATGCTGTTTTAATTTTTTAAGTATATTCGTTTCATTACAACCTTTACAGATCGGAATAGTTTGCAGGACAGCATGGAGAATACGCTATTTCATGTTGAAGCTTTACCGGTGTAATGTGTATGAAAATGTTCTTCAAGCAAAAATAGAGCGGGAGGAATGGGAACTCAGTATAACTAACGTATTTTCTTTGCTGGTTTGTTCAGTACTCAGAGAGCTCATCGTCTGGTGCTTGTAACCATCCTATGGTAGATTATACTCCACCCTCCTACATCACGCTACTTTTCACGGATCTAGGAGTTCTTACACCCTCTGCTGTGAGCGATGAACTTATTAAACTCTATTTATGACATCCGGCTCCGTCTTCGAACAACAAAGGTAACTTAAAGGACTAGTCAGAGTGACACACGTGGTTTACTATCAAGAATGTTTAAACAGACCATGCATTACCAGAGAAATAAAGTGAAAGATTTGTTTGGGCGACGTTACCTAGCAACCTCGCCGCACGCAGAATAATGCCGCGCGGGTCCATCATGCACTTACTTGTCACTTGATTTCAAGGTTTTCCTACAACGACTGCGACATGGAATTGAATACCAACTAAGAAGAAACAAACGGAACTCGATGGCTACAACGTTGTTGGTCCACGAAGATGTCAGTGCATATAATTTGGGGTCTGAATGTTTTTCACGGGGGCGGCGAAAAAGGAAGCAGCAAAGACTACCATCTAGTTTCGTCGTGTCTTAATCACTGCTGCTTAGGCCTGTAGCAATCTGGCAACAGTTACCCTCTAGAAACTGTACAGAGAACTCCGTGTGTTCTAGAATGTTCGCCTTACACCCATTTCGCTCAAAAAACACTTCATACCAAATATGACTTTATTCGTCCAAACGTGTTCTGTACGATCAGTTGTTTGAAAATGACAACAAACGAAAAAAGAAAGACATTATCACTCTTGACGTAATAGAAGAACTCAGTAAAAACATAAGCATAACGAACAAATCTCATAAGATAAGTTGTGAAAGTTTTTGCAGGATGCTCTTTAGCCAGAGGGAAATTCTTAGCGAGACCCTTACCGTTATTTAGACTAAATTTTCTGTAGAAATTTAAGCAAAGATACCCCTGCCATTGATTAAACCCGCCTTTCTTCTGCGTTAAACGTAATTACCTGTTAGTAACCGAGTTCAAAGTCCGTACTGTAAGTAACGGACTGAGCTTTTCCTCTTTGATTTACGACCCAGGCGCGAAAGAAAATACGAGGATCTGTATCTTGCCGTATGGACCGAGAAAAGGAGATTGATTAGGCGCGCGGGAAAGGAACTTTCCAAATTGAGCGTGCCGCACAGTATAATCCAGCCTACGAAATTGACTAATCACAATGCGAGTACTAAATGTGAGATGATAACAGAATAAGATAAATTGCAGCTACATTGGTGAGACTGCAAGTTTAAGTGACATTAAACAGTTTCTGCTACCTTTGGACCGCTTTATTTGCAAGTTAGTTGCATGTTTTTTTTTAAAAATATATTTTCTTCTTTTTAAAACCCTATTCAAACTACCCATTTAGAATTCGTGCCTTGGGACTGGGTCGGTGTTATGTCAAATTGCTCTATGGTAATGTTTTTGGGGAACGAATTTTTTCCCAGAATCCTGCGCAACTTCGTAACAGCCAATGAAAGAAGTGATAGCGACCCTAAAACAGTCCCACAGTGCAATTCGACAGAACACATACCCAGTCTCACGCTCAACCTTATATTGGATCCAAGCCCATCCTCCATTGTTGGATATAACTGGTAGCAAACCAGGAAGCCATTTTGCTCGTGACTGGCGCGAGTTTTTCATGGCCAATCGTTGGGCTGAAAAACACTATCCACTCTCAGGAGATCACGGATATAGTTGCGTAGTGATCTACGCAGAACAGAGTCAAACTCGATAGCGACAAGTGTAAGGAGCTCAGGGTATCTTTTGTAAAGGATGAGCCCCAGTTTTCGCTTATTGTTGTAGATGGTAATGAGCCAGAGAGAGTGACTAGTACTAAACTTCCAGGTCTGACCATATCGAGCAACCTACTTGGAAAGAACATATTAGTGACATAATCACTGAAAGCGTCAAAGCGTCTGTATTTTTTAGTGCAGTTAGAGAGATCAGGAGTTCTTCGGCAGGATATGTCCTTTTTTACATTGCTTGTATACGCTATGTTCTTACGTACGCAGCACCTGCCGTTTTTATGCCCGGCCAAAGTACCTAAAAACGGATGGTGCGAGTTAATATGCCCAGGACTGCCCTACCACGAGGCTGTTGAACTGGTGAACATTGTCCCTATTGTAGATTTCATCACAGGGCTATGTCACCAATACTTTAGACACCATTATGAAGGACCCTGAACACCGTCTGAACAGTTTAATACCATTCAGTGGACCGTCACGTTATGCTCTAAGGTGTAACAGGCGTTCATCGTAACTAAATGCAAGACAGATCGTTTTGGGAATAGTTTTATTATTATATCCTGTATTGATAATATATATAAGTAGATTTTTAGTCTTTTTATCATGTTTTTTATCTCCGTTAGTTTATATACTAAAACAGTGGATAGTGTTTTTCGCGCGCTCTGATTGGCTACTCAACCTCCGAAAATCCATTGATGTTCACTGAGTCACCTCCAGTTCCTTCGAGCAAACGACGCCAAACTCGCGTACGTTACGAGCGTAAGTTATTTACCGAGCTTCGCGGCGCGGTATACCTAGCACTAGCCACCTTCCGTTTCGGTGAGTAATTGTCATGTATCATTCTCCATGTATGCACCTAGGTACTTGACTACCGTAAATGCTCTATTAAACGCCCCTCTCAAATAAGACCCCTCCCTCTGATAGCAACCCCCCCCCCCATTTTCAGGAAAGTAAAGTTAATAAGCCCCCCTCTCTGTTAATCCCCCCACCCTACCTTAATTATTCTTAGACT